TATATAGTCTTGGCTGGCCTTGGGCCGCTAGAGATCTGTCTGCCCTTGTCTTCCCAAGTGCTGGGATAAAAGTCGTTTTCCCTCTCCCAGCCTCTCCTCAGAGCCCAGATACATTCATGAGATCCTCCAGCTGGGTTAGAAGCTTTGAAGGTTCAGGGGTTGTGGGGACAGGACTGCCTTTGCAGGTTGCCTGTCACATACCATGAGAAACATTTGACATTACACAGGCTCTATCCCAAGCTCTCTGGGAAGCCAAGCTGGTGGCAGCTTAGCCTTCTCTTTGATGGGATAGGTGCCAGTGAATGCATTCTTCTAAAACACAGAGGATGTGGCAGTTCCCACTCACCTGGGAAGTGGGGAAGTGACTCTACCCGTGTGGCCTCACCAGTGACCTGTGGGCAGGGCTCTCCCCCCTCAGATAACCACAGCTAAATTTTCAGTCCCATGGGCCAGGCTTGATTCAACAGCCTCCATCTGGGGCGGCTGACCGTTCCTCAGGGGCCCTCACGGGGGATGTCCCATGCCTGGCTCACTTTGCGCAAGTCTGAGAAACCATCAGCACTGACCCATTTACCCCAGAGCACAGCCTCACTTCCCAATTTCTTTAGTCTTGATGGATTTTTTTTTTTTTTTTTTTGCAACAAAGGGTTGTTTTCTCAACTATGACATCCCTGAAGAGAGCAGATGGCTGTGTAAACACCCAGCAAAGTGACATTTTTGTAGCTGGTCTTAGAGAGGATTTGGAGAGATTCTGAACAAAGGAGTCCCTAGGGCCCTCAGGAGCCAGAGAACGGGGAGCAAGGAGGGCATTCTTAGCTTTGCAAACAAAGATGGAAACTGAAGGCAGGCCATGGTGCCTCATGCCTGGTAATTCTAGCATCAGGAGGCTGAGGTGGGAGAACTGAGTCCAGCCTGGACTACATAGTGAGACCCTGTAGCAAAAAAAAAAAAAAAAAAAAAAAAAAAAATCGAGGCTGGGGGTGAAGCTCAGTTGGCATAGTGCTTGCTTAGCATACATAAGCTGGCAGTTTGAGCTTTAGCATTACAGAAAACAAGGTGTGGTGATAGACAAGAGGACCAGGACTTCCAGGTCATTCTCAACTATGTGAGTTTGAGGCCAGCTTGGGATATGAGTATCTCAAAGAAAACAAAACACAAAACTCAGAGACAAACTCTGAGGTGATCCATCCCATGAGAAATATGGCTGATTGTTCATCATGGACTGCAGGGGTTCAAATGCCTTGGAGTCCACAGGGTTCCGTGCATCATTCAAAGTGTGGATAGTTCAGAGCAGTCAGCTACACTGAGTATGGCGTGAGTGTGCTACTGTAAAGCAAGATGGCTTGGTGTTTACTCTTAGACCCCAGTCACATTCTGAATACCATCCATTTCCATTTTACAGGTAGAAAAAGAGAGGCACAGATGGTTAACAATTGCCCAAAGATCAGCTGAGACGAGCTGGGTGGCCCAGTCCCAAGGAAACATGACGCTTTCTATAGTATTATTGCTTTGTAAATTTCATAGGGACAAACAAGACAAAATCCTGCTTGGGACTTAGTTTAATTACAAGTCTTGCCAGGCTGTGGTGGCACACACCTTTGATTCCAGCGCTTAGGAGGCAGAGGCAGGGGGATCTCTGGGAGTTCAAGGCCAGCCTGGTCTACAGAGTGAGTTCCAGGACACCCAGGGCTACACAGAGAAACCTGGTCTTGGAAAACAAACAAGGGGTGATGGTGATGGTGGTTGTGGTGGTGGCATTGCACACCTTGGTCCCAGCACTTAGGAAGCAGAGATAGGCAGAGCTCCGTGGTCTATAGAGTGAGTTCCAGGATAGGCTCCAAGGCTACAGAGAAACCCTGTCTTGAAAAACAAAATCAAACAAGGTACTTATAAAATGGGGGTCAGGGAGAGCAACAATGTTAACCAGACTTAAGGGCATACTCCTGGGGCTGAGACAGGAGTTCAAGACCAGCCCAGGGTTACTTAGTTCAAGGTCAGCTCTAGCTGCACCATTAGAGCCTGTCTTTACAAGAGAGAGCCCAGTGGTGGTGGCACACTTTTAATCCCAGCACTTTGGAGGTAGAGGCAGGCAGATCTGTGTGTTCGAGGTCACCCTGGTCTACAGAGCAAGTGCCAGTACAGCCAGCATCTGAGTCCCTGACTTCTGGACATGGATAGGCTTAACATTTAGCACCCCAAGTGACACATGAAATATGAGGCCACTCCAAGGCCAGCACTTGAGAGGAAGCAGGATAAACACTTGCACTGTCTGTGGACAGAAATCATTTCAAACCTAATGGACCTCTGTCAGGCGGTTAGGTCATATTCCCGAGGCTCATGGGTAATCAGACTTTGCTTCTGATATCTGGACGTGCAGGTAAAGTGGGTTGTTCTCATGAATAGCTAAGTGGTACATAAGGATGAGCTCTGTAGACTGTATGAATGTCAAGGCTGAGGTGGCTCAGAAGTAAAGATACTTGAGTAAATGCTGCATAATTTGCCACAGGTTGGAGGGAAATGTTACATTTCACCAGTTGTAAAGGCTTTGAGCTGGTAGAGGAGGCTGTGGTGGATGTGGCTGTGGTGGAGGCGGTGGCAGCGGACACTGTGGTAGTACTAGTGTGGTGGTGGATGTGGCTGTGGTGGCGATGGTGGTGGCAGATGCGGTTTGAGACAGGGTCCAGGGGTATGCAACTTAAACTGCCTGGAACCCACTCCACAGCCTCCTGCTTTTGCCTCCCCAGTCATGGGATTATGAGCATGCACCACCATGCCAAGTGAGACTTTTCTTTAGTATATTTTTTAGTGTGTGTCCATCCGTCTGTCTGTGGGCATGCATGCACAGTGCCTGAGGTCAGAAATTAGCCAGATTCCCCTAGAGCTGGAGTTACAATAGGTTGTGTGCGGCCCGATGGCAGGTGCTGGGAACCAAACTCTAGCATTCTGCAAGAGCAGCCAACTGCTAAGCCATCTTTTTGGGCCCTTCTCTTTGATAGTTTGAGATGAATCTGGTTGTGCAGCTCAGGCTGACCTTGAACACACAATCCTCCAGCCTCCAGTTCCCAAGAGTTGAGATTATGCCACCACAAAGCCTTTTTTGTTTGTTGTGGTTTTTCTAGACAGGGTTTCTCTGTGTAACAGCTCTGGCTGTCCTGAAACTTGCTTTATAGACCAGACAGGCCACAAACTCACAGAGATCTACCTTCGCCTGCCTGTCTCCTGAGTACTGGGATCAAAGGCATGTATCACCACCACCCACCAGGCAACCCCCCCCCCTTTTTTTTTTTAAGACAAGGTCACATGGAGCTCAGGGTGGCCTGGAACTTGATTCTGTACCCCACGTGCTGGGATTACAAGTGTGTGCCACCATAACCACTTTCTTTTCTTCTTCTTTTAAGCAGGGTCTCTGACTGTTCAGGCTGGTCTAGAATTACGTTGCCCAGGCTAGCATAAAACTCAGAATCCTCCAGTCTCAGCTTCCAGTGGCTAGGATCACAGATGTGTGTCTCACACCCAGCTCTGAAGTGCTCTAAGGCCATTTCTTGGGTGTCAGACATGTTCCTAGCTACCTGCCTCATGATATAAAAAAGCCTGTTCCTGGGATGGTCTGAGTTTCCAGTCAGTTTAAACTGTAGTCCTGGAGTATGCTTTCCCTTTGCAGGGTTAGGATGGGACCCAGAGCCCGGACAAGCCAGGCAAGTGTACTACCACTGAGCTGCACTCCAGCCTAGACCTCAAGATCCTCCTGCCTCGTCCTTCTACACACAAGGCTTGCAGGCCCGGGCCGCCATGCCTGGTAGTTTTTAGATTCTAGAACCAACTGATACTTCATTCCATAAACAGAGTAATTGCACCACCAGGCCAAGTGGGAGTTCCTTTTGGAGTTGAACGCCTCTCCTCTGCTGGGTCAGTCGGGGTCACTGTTCTTATAAGGTGGGACCAGGAGACAGAGCAATGGAAAGTAGCTGCCTGGAGACCTGGTCACTACCGTCAGGGTTACCAATGATTGTGTCAATTGCAACTGGCCTGTCTGGGAAAAGAACCACTTTCTCTCTGGCCTAGTCAGGTCAGAGAAACATCTGGTGGAACTTTGACACAAGTGACTCCATTTTGACTTCTAGTGTGATCTGTTGGGGATTAGTACAGAAACTTAAGTAAAAAGAATGATGCCCTGTAACTTTTAACACGGGAATGGTTAACTCAGTCTGTCATTCAGTGGCTGCAAACGCTGGGGAGGAAGGTAATGCCACACGTGTGCTCATCTACACATACTGGGTAGATTTACCATCACCATCACCTATCACCTATCACAGAGTTAGGAAGCCAACACGCTTGGCTTGAAGGGAATTTTAGATTGGTCGCACGTTTAGGAAACAAGCTCAGGAGAACGCAAGACAAGGAATTCCAAGGCCTTTCACTTTTCCTTATTTTCTTTTACACCTGCTCTCACCATGCAGCCCAAGCTGGTCTGGAACTTGCTATGTAGCACAGGCTGGCCTCAAACTTACAATCCTCCTGCCTCTGCTGAGGTACTTCCCATCTATTTTGTATTGTTGGCCCAGCATAATAAGACCTGTGTGGTAAGCAGCAGGGCCAGAGCGACCGCTGGAGGGGAACTCCGGTTTCAGCGTGAGATCTTTTGAGGTTATTTGAGGAGCCAGCCAGCTTGCAGCTGCTCAGGGGTCACTGCTGATTGCTAGAAGAACCTCAAACCTTGCTTCCATGGTGTGGAGACTGAGCAGTATGTAGTCCGAAGACTGCAGGTAGGTGGTGCACATGGCTGCTAGCTAGCACTACCGAAACAGGGAGTACACAGCAGCTGAGGCAGCTACTCACTAGTCCTGTTTCAGAGAGGCACGGTGAATGCAATGCTGGGTAAATGCCCCAGCCCTCGTCCCTCTCTACCCTCACTGGGGCTCAGGTCTGGAGCCCTGCTGCCCTCTAAGACAAAGATTCCCCTGGCACAAGGCAAAGGAACAGGGCTGCTTTTGCTAATCATGTAGAGTAACACCTACTTATTTCTTAAAATGTTTATTGTACATGCTGTTTTCCTGGAGAATCCAGGTGTCTGAAGAGATTAAAGTCGGAGCTGACATTCAGCATGGAGAGGGTTACGCCAGTGCCCTCTTCTCTTTGTAGGTCGCCATCATCTTCTTGATTTCAGCAATGGCTTTCCCTGGATTCAGACCCTGGAGGAAAGAAAAGAGCGTCTGTACCAGGTGTGATGGGACGGAGCCAGTCAAGCCCCATCCAGGAGGGCTGATGTGTAGATCCAGCCCTCGAAAGCCAGCAAGCCTTGGAAAGGCAGCCCTGCCCACGGTTTTGTTTACAGGAGACTGTTGCACTGGCTCCTGGAATAGCTCACTCCAGCAGGCAAACATGCCCACGGCAGGCAGCATTCCCTGACCGCTCCAGACCCCTAGAGTGGCATCTCCTCTAGGGCCACAGGCTAAGGTCAGCATTCACCAGACACCATCACTGCTGTCAGTAAGTCAGCGACTGCAGGCTACACACTCTCAAAAGCATTGTAGTAAACAACCCTGGGAACACCTTGCGTCTTCAGTCTGACTGGCCAACACTAGCAGCCCTGGATGCAGCCTGGCCCCACAGCTGTAACATCTGTTTTGCAGAACTGGGAAGCACCCTAGTAAGTGCCAGCATTGCAAAAGCTGGGAGAAAAATGGTAGGTATGTGGCAAGATTAGACTTATCTGAGGTTGGAAAAGGGCCCTCTCACATTGGAAGAATAACACAGAAACCAAAGCATCGAAGAGAGAAAGGGAAAAATAACAGGAGAGGCTCTCCACACAGCAATCCAGAGCAGTCTCCAGATTGCACATGTGAGAAGGGCACAGATGGTGTGGCAAGAGAAAGGCAGGACGGACAAACATGCACACTGCACAGCTGGAGTCAACGTCAGGTTCACAGGGCAGAGCCATGCTCTCCTGCGCAGCCACAGCCTGTCCTGTGTAGGACTCGAAGAACTTGCTGAGAGGACGGGCCACTGGAGCAGAGGTCTCCAATACAACATGCTAGAATTCTCTTTACAGTGTTAAATGGCCACCCTGCAGCTTCCTATCTTGCTGCAGGGTCACATTCACAGGTCCATGATCGGCACCAGATTAGAAGGCAGTCAACTTAAAACTGGCCACACATGCTGTAGCGGGCTGTGTCAGGCAAAGCTGAACCAAGAGTTCCCTCTTGGGGCTGGAGAGATGGCTCAGTGCTTAAGAGCACTGACTGCTCTTCCAGAGGACCAGGACTCAATTCCCAGAACTCACATGGCAGCTCACAACCATCTGTAATTCCAGTTCCACGGGTCCCAACACCCATGGAAAACACCAATGCACATAAAATAAAAATAAATCAATCTAAAGTTTATTTAAAAAAAAAAAAAGTTCCCTCTCAGGAATGAGCCAGGAATGATGGTGCAGGTCTTTAATCCCTGCACTTGGTAAGCAGAGGCAGGCAGATCTCTGTGAGTTCAAAGCCAGCCTGGTTGACAGAGTGAGTTCTAGGACTGCCAGGGCTACACAGAGAAACCCAATTTCAAAACAAAAACAACAGCAACAAAAGGAATGTGAGACCTGGAGGTGGTGTGGTCTAAGCCCGGGAGTCTGAAAACACAGCATGTGAGGAGAGAGGGAGACCAGGGAGGCCGAAGCACATCAGTGGCCAGAGCTGTGACAGCTGAGGGACCCTGGCTCCCATCCACCTGTTTCCCACAGCACTGGCTTCTGGCACAGGTTCCTCCCTATGGGTTCTGGTGACACTTTGCCCCTACATCTCTGTGTCATCTACAAGTAAGGCCTCGTGGGACCTGGTGGTGGAGTCTGTGACTAAGAGCCATGCCAAGCCAACAGTGATCCCAGCCCCTCTCCATTTCAAGGGACTGCGCTACTCCTGCCCATACCTTGGGACAGGTCCGCGTACAGTTCATGATGGTGTGGCAGCGGTAGAGAGAGAAGGGGTCCTGCAGCTTGGCCAGGCGCTCCTCTGTGAAGTCGTCTCTGGAGTCGATCATCCAGCGATAGGCCTGGGAGTCAAGACAGGGATGGGAGTCAGCTGAGGCAGCTGCTGGCCTGGACAGGCCTGGCTCAGAAGTGCAGGAGCCTTGCCATTGCCCTGTAGTTCTTACCCATCTTACAGGAAGGTTCCTAGATCTTTCCTAACTCTGCCCATGGTCATCATGAACTTTGACCCTCCCTGTACTTGGTACCTCAGTGCTTAATGATACGGTACCAGGCATCAGCTCATTTCATGTTGTTTCAGGTTCTAATTAGTGAAGGTGGACTGTGCTAAATGCTTTTTCCTCTCCTTATAGCATCTGCCTGTGCTAGAACCTGCCACTGAATAAATGGATGCTTTGCCACAGGGTCCCACCATACGACCCTAACTGACCTGGAACCACTGGCCTCTGCCTCCTGAGTGCTGGATTTATAGGGTTGCACCACTATGCCTGACCTGCTATTTTAAGGCTTGCAGCTTGGCCCTGAACTCATAATCTTCCTGCCTCAACCTCTCAAGGGCTGAGGATTACAAGCAAAATCAGCTATCGTACCCATCGTGAACAGTTTTGTCTGTTTTCTGTCAATCAGTACATGTCCCGAGGTCAGCGAACTCACCATGGTTTACCACAGGGCCCTGGACCTGTTCCAGCTGCACTACTGAGCCCTGTGTGTTTTCCAACAACTCAGACCCTGGAGAACAAGCTGCAGGGGGAGTGTACCTGACTGCACATGGCAAGGTCAACACTACTCTGGCCACAGCCTTTAACTTCCTTTTTAATGGGAACATGAGAAACACGAAGCTGTCTCTTGACTTGCTTCACAGTCTCTGAAAAGCACTGACCACAAATCTGAAAAGTAGGTTTCCTTCCTGCCTTCCGATGAGCAGCTGCCTCTCAAGATGCTTCTCCCTTCCAAACAGCGCACAGCCCAGGGACCTGTGTTTCACACTGGCTGTACAGTGCATCCCTCCCTTTGGGGCGGTCCTCCCTGCTACAAAGGTGCCTCAGATTTGCCGAGAGCCACTCAAAGCCCAAGGCACTGGATGTCCTGCATGTCACTGGACACCATTCCTCTACAGACAGCTGCCCGCAGCAGGCCACTGCCCTCGGGGACTTCTGGCTGCTTGAGTTAGGGAGCACCGCACCTGCATGAGAACGGCGGGCCCCAGGTACTTGTCTCCATTCCACCAGTAGCTGGGGCAGCTGGTGCTACAGCAGGCACAGAGGATGCATTCGTACAGTCCGTCCTGTGTGGAGAGAAAGGAAGTCAGAGGCCAGGCACCAGCACCTGACAAAGGGTCAGCCTGCCATGTGCTTTCTGGGTGAAATACAAGGGTGGTTTGTGGCAGGGTAATAGATTCAAAAAAAAAAAAAAAAAAAAAAAAAAGCAAAATCACTTGTAATGAAATGCAAACCTCTGCTGGATCAGAGCCCAGGGCCCTTAAGTCCAACCACAGTGCATGTAGATTTAATAATCAATAACCCCCCCCCCCACTGACCCAAAACAGCCATGACTAAGTTCAAGTTCCCAACCAGCATGCAGTCTGAAGCTCCTTGGCAATCTGCCCCAGTGTCTGTCTAGCTGGGTAGTCCTCAAGTGTCCACTGGGGCCTCACTATCATCCTATGCTGCCCTCCACATTTCACACACAGAGCCTTAAACTCTAGGGAGGACAGGAGGGGATTAACTATGGCCCCTGAGCCCCAAGTGCATCCTGGTTATTTCCCTGGCTATTTTTATTTATTTATTTAATTTGTTTGTTTGTTTTTAAGGCAGCTTCTCTGTATAGTCCTGGCTGTCCTGGAACTCACTCTGTAGACCAGACCAGCCTTGAACTCACAGAGACTGGCCCAGCCTCTAGAGTGTTGGGATCAAAGGCGTGTGCCACCACCACCTGGCTTGGCATCCTGTTCTTATACATGGCACACAGCCTCAAGCTGGTCTCTGTGCCTAACAAGTTGGACTTTCTAATTCTGGCAACAAGCAGCTTGCACAGGGGTAGCTGGCAGAGACAGGTCACCCAACACTGCGAGCCTGACTCAAGCAGAAGGCTGGCTGCCTAGACTGGGTTTGTGGTGAGAAGTCAGCCATACTCGCGTTATTTGACAGTAGTGGGGCGGCTTCATAGCACATGTGGCAGAACCCTGATATAGCAGAAGTGTTCAGCAGCAAATCATACTTCGCATGCCAAGGCCTGAGATTTGCCTGCAGCACCACCCACTTCCAAACGAATGCAAAAATTAAAAGTAGTTCATTGTATTTTTAATTACTTGTTAAGCACCATATTCATTTAAGGAACCAAAGAAATGCAACACAAATGTTTACATTTATTGTGTTTTGTGTGGTGCTTGGGTTGGAACTATGGGCCTGTGCAAACTAGGCAGTCCTGGGATGGTGTCCCTTGTGTAACAGCACTCTGCCAGCTGAGCCCCAGGCCCAGGCCCAGGCTATAGACCCATAAGTGGAAGACTCAGCATCAAGCTAGGCAGAGGTAGGCCGATCAGCCAGTGATATAGCCCTTTGTCAAAAGAAAAAAAATTTGCGGCCTGAACTCAAGAATAGCAACTCCAGCCATAGCAGTCAGACACAGCATAGATAGGAATAGACAGCAAGGTACCACTTTAACCCTGACCTCACCACTACACTGTTACAGACAAACCCAAGCCTCCCATCCTCTATCTGAATGGACAGCATGGGTGCATGTCATTACCCTCCCCTCCCCCAAGAGAGAGCAACTTGGTTTTATCCACCAGCCTTTACAGACCAGGAATCTTAAATACTGGTCTCTTCTGGCAACAAGGCACTCATCTGCTCTGAAGGCAGGCAGCACTCAGCTGTGCCAGCACCTTGGTCTGCTCAGGAACTTCCCAGGCATATGTGTAGACGGGTCCCGAGTGCAGGGGTCCAACCCTTGGGTCAGCTGCTCGTTTCCCTTCCCTCTCCAGCACTGGGATGGTCTACTGGGCCCTGAGCATACCAGATAAGCATCTGTCATGCAGCTCTACCCACAGCCTGGCAACTTTTTCTTTTCAGGTCAGATACTCCCTGGGTTATTTCAGAACACATGACATGTTCTGCATCGCCCTACTGCTGTCCTAACAGCCAGAAAGCGCCCCCGCCAACCGAGACAATAGGTTAAGTAATGACCAGCTTCTCCCGGTCCTCGATGGACTGCAGATACTGCTGCTTGCCCTCCTTGGACTCATCCTTCTTCTTCAGATAGGGTTCAATGGATTTGTACTGTGCGTAGAAGTTACTCAGATCCTGAGGGAAAGAAAGGGGAGGGCAACAGGAGAGAGGTCAGCTTCTGGCAGGGCCTTCGGCTTCTGCTTGCTGTTAGCTCAGACACGGCACTTTTCCTCCCCACGACAGTCAGAAACCAAACTCTCGGAAGCTGAGACAAGTAAGGTTCTAGAAGGGGACATGGTCAGTGTTAGCCACACCAGCTGAAGATATGTCAACTGCAGTCCTTTCTCTTGCTGCCCCAAGTCAGGAAAGCCAGAAGAGGGAAGGGACCAGAACAAAGTCAAATACTGCTGCTGTCCCATTCACCTTCCTCTCAAATTCTCTGCAGTTACAGCCAAATCCTTCATTTCGGGGGCTATCCTAACTCTGGAATTCTAAATCCCAGTTTCTCAAAAAACCCTACCATCTGAGCTTCAGAAGGATTGATTTCCAGGCATGTCACCTGTCATTCAGACTCTACAAAAGCACACAGGCCACACAGGTGTGGATCTGGGAAGGAGGTTTCCTAATGTCTCTGGGGATACTGTGGAGTTGCCATGAACTCAGGGAGTGTCTGATTGATAACGTCTACCACAGTAGCTGCAGGCACCCGGACCCCGCCTGCTCCGGAGAACAGAGGGCAGAGCATGTTCACACCACCCCTGCAGGACACACTTGCGCCACCCCCTGCAACAGGTGGGAGAGCCGCAGACACTCACAGGGACTAGATCCTTGATCACATACATATGTGGAAGAGGGTAAATTTTTGAGACTTTGCTGAGGTCCGTGTCGATCCTTCGAGTGCACGCCAGAGTGTTGCCTCCGTTGATGTTCATGGCACAAGAGCCACAGATCCCTGAGAGAGACACCAGGTGACCTCAGGCTTCCAATCCTTTCTCCTGGACCACGCTGACCACTGTTAGTAGTTGCACTAACAGGACATGTGTCTTCTCCCTTCTTTCCTGCCTAGACTTCAAATCTGAACCAGGCAAGCACTCTACCCACTAAGCTAAAGCCTCACTCAGTTCCTTGAAGCCCGCAGCTGGCTTCTTCCATCTTTGATTATCCCAGGTTCCCAAGGCTAGTGAGCAGCTGAGCACAGACGTGGAGACTGCTTCTGTGGCTGACTTTTGGTTTCTGGTCCTTGCAGAGCCCCATAACTCCATGCCCCACCCCCCCAATATATGAAGTCCACATAGTCACCTACCCACCTCACAAGAAGACATGACAGCCCTGGCTCACTGATGGCTTCACAGCCATTAGGGCCAGCCAGGCTTCAAGGCACTATGTGCTTTTCGTCTTTTGAGACTTTTCCTTTTTAATCATTATTATTATTAATTTTATTTTTACTTAAAACATTTTTACTTCTGTTGCATTATCACTAGCAATTATCTCCCGCCCCTCTTCTGGGACAAGGTTTCTTTGTGTAGCCCTGGCTGTCCTGGAACTCACAGAGATTCATTTGCCTCTGCTTCTGGAGTGCTGGGATTAAAGTCATGTACCACCACTGCCTGGCTTTTCTGTCTCTCTTTTGAGACAGGGTCTCACTATGTAGCCTTGACTGGCCCTAAACTCCACAAGTAGACCAGGCTGGCCTTAAGACTCATGGACATTTTCCTGTCTCTGCCACCCTAGTGCTCCACACCCTCAGCTACATATTTTCAGATATAGAATAGATGCACTGCAGTCAGAATAGGAAGTTGTCTTTTCACTGTCTCAACAACAGCTCAGCATCAGCACATCCCCCTGTGACAAGTGCAAGTCTGGAAAGGCCTCAGCAAGAAACTCCCACCTCTCGATAAACAGTGCTCATAATGCAAATGCTGCATTTGTCCTCACTGGTGCCAGTAAGCTCAGGGCAGCTAACAGGAACCACGAGACAGAGGAATCTCCAGACAATGCTCCCAAGGCAAAATCAGAACTTGCACCACAGTTTGAACTCTAGAAGCCACTTTCCAAGAAAAAGAAGGTGATGCATAGTATCTGTGTCTATCCTTTATTCCCTTGTTGCCCAGTTAGGGCAATCCCTGAAGCTGAACTAGTCTCAGCAGCAAGGCTACCTAGCACTGCTGCAGCTGTCCTCCAGGGTGTCCTCATCAAGGGCAGTCCAGACTCGGAATCAGAACCCCAGCCCAGGTCTGGTGATAATGAAAGCCACACTCACCTTCTCTACATGATCTCCGGAAAGTCAAAGTGGAATCAATTTCATTCTTAATCTTAATTAGAGCATCCAACACCATAGGTCCACACCTGATAGAGAAAAGGACTTGGCTGCATTCACGAAGGTCAGCATCCTTGCTTGACTACTGGACAATGATCAGGACACCTGGATGCAGGACCCATTTAGTCTCACATCAAATCCAGATTTTTCTTCCTTTCTTTATTTTTGACTTGCTTGAAAGTTTAATTACTGCATAGTTATCTTCTTATTCTTGTGTCTGTGTGTGTATATGTGTGTAGTATGTATATATGTACACATGTACATGGCATGCTGTCTTATAGTCTCCCTCTAATGCTCTGTCATACCCCCTAAAGATAGAGTCTTTCATTGAACCTGGAGCTGCTGCTTTTCAGCTAGACTGATGGTCAGTAATTCCAGATGTGGATCCACCTGTGTCTGCTGCCCCACCCTAGTGCTGTGGCTACAGGAAAGCCCTGCCTGGCTTTCTTCATGACCTTGGGATCCAAACTCATGCTTGCACAGCCAGCCAGCACTTTTGTTCACCCAGCCATTTCCTCAGTCTGCTTTTTTCTTTTTCTTTCTTTCTTTTTTTTTTTTTTTTGAGATGGCGTCTCACTATGTAGTTCAGGATGGCTTTAAACGCAAGTCCTGACTTGGCAGTTAAAATAACACATAACCACCAAAGGAAATATGGTAAAGGTGATAAAAGAAAATGAATCAGATTAGACATGGTTGGGCAGTTAAGAGTACATGCTGTTCTTGCCCATGACCAAGTTCAGTCCCCAGCACCCATGTTGGGTAGGTAGCTCATAACCGCCTGGAACTCAGCTCCAGGGATCTAACATCACTGGCTCTGCATGCACATGCATATGCAAACACACACACACACACACACACACACACACACACACACACACACACACGCACACACACACGTAATTAAAAAGAAACCTTAAAGCAGACAAACAAGAAAATCAAATCACCCATACAGCAAAGTACCCGAGTGCAGACGCAGGGGTGTGCCTTGTGTGGCAGTGCATCTCACACGAGTCAGCTGAGCTGTAGTTTTCAAGGATCTGGCTTACTTCATCAAAACCACTGAATGTCTGAGCATAACCATTAACAATAATCTAACGTTTCCAAGATATGGAGTGGAAGTCTATGCTTAGTACTAGGATTTTTTAATCTTGTTTTATTGCAGTGTTAAGGCTACAAGCTAAGGGCTTGGGTGTGCTAAGCAAGCCCCACCATTGCAGTCAGCAGCCCGGCTCCACTTTCTTTCCTTCCTCTTCCCTCCCTTTTCTGACCTTGCTGCTTCCCGGGCTGACCCCTGCCTTGCCTCCTGAGCAGCTGGGCATCTCCTTATTCCTGGCCTTTTATGCTAGTTTTATTATTTACATTTTCTTTGCATTTGCTTTATTATTTTTCCTTTTTAAACTTTATTTTATGTGCATTGGTGTGAGGGTGTCAGATTCCCTGGAACTGGAGTTACGGACAGTTTAAGTTGCCATGTAGGTGCTGCAAATTGAACCCAGGACGTCTGGAAGAGCAGCCAGTGCTCTTAACCGCAGAGCCGCCTCTCCAGCCCCATTTTAAAAAACAAACAAACAAACAAACAAAAAAGAACTGGGGTTTGAACCCTGGGTCTTACACAAGCCTGGCAAAAGCTACACTACTGCCCTACATCCCCAGCCCTCATCAATTTTATTTAAGCAGGGTCTCAATGCATTGTCCAGGCTGGCCTCAAACTTGAATCCTCCTACTTGGAAGGCTGGAGTAGCTGGCATAACTGGTGCACACAGTTGTGCCTGGCCCCACCTGCAGAGGCCAGGAGAGGGTATCAGGCGCCTTGCGGGTGAAGCTGCAGGCTGTTGTGAGTTGCCTGGTATGGGTGTAGGAAACTAACTACAACCCCCTGCATGAGCAAGTGCTCCTAACTGCTGAGCCATCTCTCCGGGTCCCTTAAAAATGTTGTGTGTGAATGCTCAGGTGTGTGTATGTGCACATGGATGTGAGGTCAGCCTCAGGTACTGAACCTCAAGTGTTGTCCACCTTGCTCTGTTGGGAAAGCTTACCAAAGATCAGGCTGGCTGGCCAGGTATGGATCTTCCTGCCTCTGCTTTCCCAGTGCTGGTACAGTAGGTGCATGTTAATCACACCCCACTTTTTACATGTGTCTGGAGGACCAAACTGAGATTTTCATGTGAGCACAGAAGTACTTTGCCAGCTGAGCCATCTCCTCAGCCTCTAAATCTGTTTTTAAAATAAGGTGTCATGTAGCCCTGGCTGGTCTTGAATTTGCAGTGTAGCTGAGGATAATCTTGGAACTCCTGCCTCTACTGGCCAAGTTATGGGATTATGGTTTTGGGTTACCATTCCTAGCTAGTCTGCTTCCTTCACTGTTTCTTTGTATAATTAGCAACCCTGGGTCCCACCAGATAAGGAGTATTAATTAACGTTTTGTTGTTTTTAGCAGGTGATCAACATGACAGATTCAAGAACTGGAAAGAGGTTGCAAACAGAATTTGGGATTCCTCCTGGCTTCTTTCCAGGGTCCCCACACTTTCCATGTCCTTTCCTTTCCCTGGTTTTAGTCTTCCTGTTGCTAGGCAGGCTGGGCCTGACCTCATGGAGAACTATATAGCTCACTCACAGAGTCCCCATTCTCCCAGCCCTCTCCTCACCAAGCACCAGGTGGGCACAGACACTTACTTATTCAGATCAACTTCGTAAGTCTGCATTCGGGGCTTATCTCCAGTCTTGTCCGGGTCCCATCGGTAAATGGCAAATTTTTTGATTCGGGGAGCAGCAGCAGCTGTCTGTGCCCCTCGGCAGGCCTGAAACTTGAAAAAGCCCAGAAAAGGGAAAAAGAAAAACATTAATAAATGCAAGATACTTTTTTCCACTTAGCTGGCATGATAACTGTGTTGCTGGATAAAATATACAGCTTCCTGGGAAGGTGCAGTCCCAACACCAACAGATATTAATAACCCTGATATGCCAGCTATGGTTCTATGGCATAGGGACAAAGCACTTAGTAAAACAAATCTTTGTTTTCACAGAACTTATATGTGGTGACAGACAGTGAGATAAAACATGCACGAGAAAGTATACAGAGCGGCCCTGAGGAGGTGAGGCCAGCATCTGGGGAGGGCAAGGGATCACAGGCTGCCCTGACTGGGGAGAAGCTGGAGCCGTGGGAGGCTGAGGGAGCAGCACATGTGAGGGTGTGCAGGGGAACAGAGTGTCTGTGAGGCACAGTCTGCTAGGATGCAGGAAGCTGGAGCAAGGACGGGGACATCACTGCTGTGTTGTGGAATAGTCCTTTACACTGTGTTTAGATGTGCCATTGTGACTGGTGTAATAAAAAGGCAAATGGCAGGTACAGCAGGGACTTCTGGACAGAGAGTGCTCTGGGAAGAAGGGTGGAGTGGCCGGCCGGCCGGCCAGCCAGCCAGCCAGCCAGCCAGCCAGCCAGCCAGCCAGCCAGCCAGCCAGCCAGGAAGCAGCATGGACAGCACAGAGTAAAGGCAATAACTTCATGAGACAAAAAAAAAAAAAAAAAAAAAAAAAAAAAAAAATTAAGTTGTAAGAGCTAGTTAATAACAAGCCTAAGCCATCAGCAGAGATTTTAAAATTAATAAGTTTTCGTGTCATTATCTGTGAGCTGGTGGCCCAAAGAGAAATCTGCCTACAGATCTGATCACACTTTGGTGGGTTTGTTTAACCTGAGAACCACAGGAAGCAGCGAAGCTTCGAGACAGGGTCTCACACAGGCCCGAGTCAAACTTTTCCATCTTCCCGCCTCAGCCTTCTAAAGGGTGGGGTTACAGGTGTGGGCCACAACCACCAGCCAAGACAACTTGTAAATCACAGTGTTGTGGATGTGTGTGAGATAACATTACATGAGATCTGAAGAAACCAGTCAGAGAGTTACTTCAGTTATCAAAATAAGATGTGTGGCCAGTGTGATGGCTCAGAGGGTCCAAGTGTTGGCTGTGCAAGCTTGAGAGCTTGTGTTCCATGCCTGGAAGCATGTAAAGGTGGAGGAGAGACCTGTCTGTGATGTTATCCCTCATTTCATAGTCACACTGTGGCATGTGCTACCCCCTTCACCATACAAGCATAACAATAATAATAAATACATATTTTTAAATCCCAACACGATAGCTGAGGTGGTGGTGCATTCCTTTGACCCCAGCACTCAGGTGACAGAGGCAGGTGGATCTCTGTGAGTTTGAGGCCAGCCTGGCCTACAGAGCAAGTTCCAGGACAGCCAGGGCTACACAAAGAAACCCTGTCTCCAAAAAAAAAAAAAAAAAAAAAAAAAAAAAAAAAAAAAAAAAAAAAGAAAGAAAGAAAGACAAGAAAGTGCCTCCAAAACCCAGGGAAAACTCATACTAAAAATCCTGGTGAGGAAAACAAGATGAAGATCTGAACACATAATAAATTTAGGGAACAAACAAATTCTGCTCTGTGATGACTACATCTCAGCTAAATGAAATCTCCATCACCTGTGGCATGTTCCCTTGCTAGCCGAAGAAAACACAGGGGCTGACCCTAATTCAGAGCCACTCCCCATGATGAGCTGCAGGCATGACCCACAACGTGGTTTATGTGGTGCAGGGGACTGACCACAGACACTCACCATCACACCCAGCTTTTCCTTGGGTTCTGGGGAGCCAAACTCAGGTCATAAGGCTTATAAAGTAAGTGTTCTTACCTGGTGAGCCATTCCCTGACCCTTTAGTTTTAAAAACAGGTTTTCATGTGGCCCTGAACACATTATGAAGCCAAGGATGATCTTGAACTTCCGAATGCTGGAACTGTAGGTGTGGGCCATTGTGGCTGTATGTGAGCTGGGACAAGAACTCAGGACCTCATGCATGGTAAGTGAGCATTCTACCAAGTGAACTTCCTAGCCTTGTCTTCTCTCTCTGTGACACACCCCTGAAGGGGTGGGCGCCCGTTACATTTTATATCTGTCAGCATGCCTTGTTCAGGCCTTTGTGCACAGCTTGTGATACATGCTCAGCAAAGATTGAAGCAAAAGCTGAACAGTAAACCGACATCAAATGTAGCTCATTAACACGCTTTACTTAAAAGCGTGCAGCCTGTGTGAGGCCATTAAGCCAACTGCTGCCCTGTGTCAATCACCTGGGATGCTCATCACAGACCCCCTATAAGCAGGTGAAATGACATAGTTCACAAGTTTTGTGCTCCTGCTACTGGGGAGGAGGAGTTTGTTGGTGCCAGAACCAATTATAAACCAAGTCTCCAATTGCCTATGGAATGATACAAGACATGTGGCAGGGTGGCTAGGACATTTATGATTTGCAGATGCCTGATTGGTTGCTTGCTTATGATCTCAGAGCTTGGGAGGTAGAGGCAGAAGGATCAGGAGTTCAGGGCCAACCTGTGCTACATGAGACTGTTTCACCACCACCCCCCCTAAGAAAAAAGAAAGTAAACACGAAAATCATGTCTCACTTCCTCATTAATCTGCCCAGGAACCAAGAAAAGCTGTTTCTGGGAAGGAACCACAGCCCCACTGCACCCCGACTCACTGCAGCTCCTTTTTATTTCCCCCTAGAGACAGGGTTTCTCTGTGTAGCTTTGGAGCCTGTTCTGGAACTCGCTCTGTAGAACGCACAAAAACCCACCTGCCTCTGTCTTCCCAGTGCTGGAATTAAAGGCGTTTAATGCCACCACCAGGAAAGACACCCTTGGCTAATGTCTCCTGGTGGGTTTGTTTGTTTTTGTTCATCTGAGACAGACTCCCTGTGTCTAGGCTGCTGGCATTCCAGGTGTATGTTCCATCTCCAACTATCCCGTGGTATTTCAGAGGAAGTGAAGGGGGGGGGGCAACTGAAAATGTGTGCTCCAACCATCTTTGCTTGCTATAACACCTTGTTTTTATTTTGTTTTGTTAAGTAGGGCATAAGTCATCACAATATAGTCACTGGGCAAGGACATAATTTTGTGAGTTTTATCAAAGTAGTATTATCATAATCAGAGTATTTTCGCCCATCCAAAATAGTCTCTTTATCATCATCCCACATTTCAAAAACAAAGATTTTTGGAGTTGCCAGGCAGTGGTGACACACACTTTTAATCCCATTACTTGGGAAGGCAGGAGCAGGTGGATCTCTGAGTTTGAGGCTAGCCTGGTCTATAAAGTGAGTTCCAGGATATCCAGGGCTACCCAGAGAAACCCTGTCTTGAAAAACCCTTGGAGTGACACAAATTACCGTGTATGCACATGCTTGTCTGCCTTTAAAAAGTAACCTGATACTGCTGGCATTGGTGGTGCATGCCTTTAATCCCAGAGCTCTGGAGGCAGAGGCAAGTCAGCCTGGTCTACACAGTGAGTCCCAGGACAACCAGAGAGGAACAATATAAGACACTTCCCTGAAACACACACAACCCAGGGACTAGAAAGATGGCTCAGAGGCTGCTCACAGGCTGTAACTCCATCTCTAGGGGACCCTATGCCCTCTTCTGGACCCCACAGGCAACTGCATTCACATGAATACATAACTAAAAATACAAATACAAACAGGTCAGCAGGATGGCTCAGTAGAAAGCCTAACAACCTGAGTTATGAATCCACACACAGGTGGAAAGAACTGACTTCTATATGTCGTCCTCTGATCTCCACATGCATACCTAGGCACATATGAACCCCTATACACAAAAAAGAGAACACATGCTAATCTTTCATTTTGGAAAAATTATATACCACATGCACCTGTAACAGCATGGAGATTCTTCCCTGATGGAAACATACCTCACTTGGGCTGCTTTTTTTTTTTTTTTTTTTTTTTTTGGTTTTTATGTGGGGTTTTTTTTTTTTTTTTTTTTTTTTTTGGTCTGGTTTGGTTTGCTTTTCTGATAGCATGTTACTATGCAGCCCAGGCTGGCCTTGAACATGTGGCAAGCCTCTTGCTTCTGCTCTTGAGTCCTAAGGCAATACTACACTCCCAGTTATGGTCCCACAGTACTGAAGGTGAATTCAGCAGCACCCTCAGAGTGTGATAAAAGCCCATCATGCTCAGTTGATTCCCTCTAGGCCTGCCAAAATGACAGGCTATCTGCAATTCAGTCTCATATCACTTTTCTCCTATTTAAATACTTGTTTCTACAGACATCTGATCAGCCACACTTTTCAAAAGGGACTAGGTTTAGACCAAAATTGATTTAGGGTTTTTAGTTTTATTATTTTTTGAGATAAGGCTTCACATAGCCCACGTGGGTCTCAAATTTACTATGTAGCCAAGAATGACCTTAAACCCCCGATCCTCCAGCCTCCACCTTCCAAGTGTGCTATCACCCATGACTAGAAATCAGATATTATCCTGTTGTTTTGAGACAGGGTCTCAGATGTAGACCTGGTTGTCCTGGAACTTGCTAGTAAACCAAGCTGGCTTTAAACTCACAGAGATCTAACTACCTCTGCCTTCTGAGTGCTAGGATTAAATAAAGGTGTATACCACCATGCTAGTCTATTTTATTTTTATTTTTTTTGAGTTAGGGTTTCTCTGTATTGTTTTGGCACCTGTCCTGGAACCAGCTCTGTAGACCAGGCTGGCCTTGAACTCATAGAGATCCCCCTGCCTCTGCCTCCTGAGTGTTGGGATTAAAGGCGTGTGCCACCAACGCCCAGCTCATCTATTTTATTTTTATTCATGTGTATGCAGTACATGTGTCTTGAGTATATGTTTCATAGTGCCTATAGAGGCCAGAAGAGGGACCTGCCAAAGCTGGAATTACAGGTGGCTTTGAGTGACAGAGCATGTGTGCTGGGAACTGAACTGCTAGTGTTTTTGAGAGCTGGGCCATCCCATCCCTCTAGTCCTGGAGTTGTGGTTTTCAGAAAGACAGGATCAATTACACGCTTGTGTGTGGAACATAATGATGTTGACAGAGGACAAATCAACTATTTATTGGTGAGGGGAGAATTAGTATTGGGCCCTGGTGAACACGGGAAAGAACAGGGCGGACAAAGCACACGTGATGTGCTGGCCAGAGGTGTCTTGCTAGCCCCACCCTGAACCCCCAGTAACAGGAAGGATAATATGGGTGATGCTGACTCTCTTGCCTGTGTCCACTCAAGGGTATTTGTTTTTTTAAGCCCTTTTCTACCCTAATATCTCTGCCTAAATCTATATTAAAACTTCTTTTAAAAGTGAAATCCTTTTATTCTGATTGTGTACAAGTTGGTGGTGAGGCTGCACTCTCCTGTGGCTGTCAGGAATGTCTGGGCAGTAAGTTCCCTCTTTTTTTCTTCATGTGAGTTCTAATTACGGGGCTCAGGTCATCAAGCCTGAGCAACAAGCATTTTTACCCCCACTAAACCAAGTCCTCGGCGCTTAGAGTTTTTCCTACTAAACTCCACCTTTGCTTTTAAAGACTCTGAGGAGAGGGAGGTGGGCCAAAGCAACTCATGCTACAAACCTCTCATGGGAGTGACTGTGAACACATCTGTACCTCAACCTATGCCTCTAGTGAGTGCGCAACACAGGAACAAATGTTTCTAGACAATCTTGGAGGAGATGAACTTCACGGCCCACACTGCAGCAAGGTAATGTATGGCTGGACAGACATAGAAGGGAGAATTCCAGCCACACTGAAGGACTCTTGTTATTCCTTTAGCTTCCTTAGGGGCAGGCCTGAAATTAGACAAATTTCACGGCCACAGGAGGGGAGGTGGAAGGAGGAAGGCCAGGAGACCCGCACGAAGTCACACCAGCACCAACTGAAGGTGCAGGCTTGTGTCTGAAAAGTATCAGTGGGGTTGTTTCGGACCCAAGCCCTGTCACCTTCCAGCTGTGTGTTCGTTAGAGAACTGCTTAGCCAATCTGATGCCACTTCTTCCTTTGCAAAGAGTAAGATGGGATTGATACCTACTCCACAAGGAACAAGCCAAACTCCTGTGTCTAAGCTGGCCTTGAACTCACAGAGATCTGCCTGCCTCTGCCTCCCAAGTGCTGAGATTAAGGTTCTGAAAATGATCTCTGCCTTTCAACTCTGGCAGCATTTTCAGGACTTGGGTTATACTGACGGGCAGATGGGCATTCTAAGCCTTGCCCATTGTCTCAGAAGCAAAGAGAGGCAGGCACAGCTGTAAAAAGCGGCTTTGCCCTCCTGGAGTCCACAGTCCAGATGAAGAAATAAGGCATGCTATTAACAGTTAACCCATCACAGTTAAACACTGGCAGGCAGAGCTGCAGTCCAGGGGTGCAGACCACACACAGGAGGTTCAGAACCTGAACCAACAGCCCACGGCAACACAGCAAGCTCATTACCGGTTCTCAGGAATACAAATCCGACACGAAAACCTTCCCACAGGGAGGATGCCTCTCACTCTTACAGCAATGGGGAAGGTGGGCATGAAATCCTAACACCAGCCTGTAAAACAAGCCTTTTCTACAGTTCATTCTAGGAAGCCCAGCCTGGGCCTTAGAACTCATTTCTAGAGGTGGGGCTCTTACAACTTAACGGCTGCCTCAGCAACATGGGAAGAGACTGATAAAAAAGGTCCCTGAGAATCATTAACTGGCAAGCATATTGGGAGGCTCCTACTAGATGCACCCCTTCTCAGCAGCCATGGATTAGAGCTCTTCAATTAGAGGTGGGGTCTTGTGAAATTTCCCCCAATCATGTTGGCATGTGAACTGGTGTTGGCATTATGCATCCAATTCCATGCTGTCAACACTAAACATATGTATGTGTAAGCAACACTAAATGGTCAAGAGACTGTGTATGTATATAGCAATGATAATTAAAGTAATGAATATGAGAGGGAGCAGGGGAGCATGGGAGGAGAGGGAGGGTAGGAAATGATGGAAATACTGTACTCGTTCACGTAAGAAATTGTCAACAACAAAAGTAGAACCATTAACTGAATACTGGGGACATCAGCCTGAGGCTCTGGTAGGCACTGGTTTTATTCTTTGAGACAGGGTCCCAAGTAGCTCAAGTTGGCCTTGTACTCCAGTTAAGGCTGAGGATGTCCTTAAACTCCTGATCTTGCTGCCTCAGCTTCCTGAGTGCTGGGATGACAGGTGTGTGTCAGTGCACCTGCCTCTGTACCCTTCCTATTCAGAAGGAGATGCAAAGGCAGGCAGAGGGGGTGCACACCACTCATCTCAGAACTCAGAGGCAGGTGGATCTCTGAGATCAAGGCCAGCTTGGTCTACAGAGTTCCAGGACAGCCAGAGGTATACAGAGAAACCCTGCCTCAAAACAAACAAACGAGAAAGAGAAATGCAGACTGAATGCTTTGTTAGGCAGGACTAGAGGCAGCAGGGGTTACAAGATGGCTGAGTGTGTACTGTGTCATGCAGCCACAACAGGCATTTAAGTCGAGGGAGATCAAGTAAAATCAAGAAAAGGAACTAGTATTTCTATATACCAACCATATGCCAGGATTCTGTTTCAGGGCCAGGTGTGGTGGCACGCACCTTTAATCCCAGAATGTGGAGGGGGCGGGGTTGAGGCAGAGGTTATCTCTGAGTTCCAGGAGCTGCAGGGCAACCCTTAAGAGACCCCCATTCAGAAACAAAAGAAAATACAAAAACAAGGCTGGAGATATAGCTTAGCTGTTTGAAGAGGAGCAGGGTTCAGTCCCAGTATTCACATGAGGTCTCATAACCACCTTAACTCCCTTAGCTCCCTTTTATGATCTCCATGGACGTGGTGCCCCTACATACATGGAAGCAAACACTCATACATGACAATTTTTTTTTTTTGTGTGTGTGTGTGGGGGGGGGTTCGAGACAGGGTTTCTCTGTGGCTTTGGAGCCTGCCCTGGAACTAGCTCTTGTAGACCAGGTTGGCTTTGAACTCAGAGATCCGCCTGCCTCTGCCTCCCGAGTGCTGGGATTAAAGGCATGTGCCACCACAAGCAAATCTTTTTTAAAAATCTTAAAAAAACAAAAAACAAAAACTTCCCTGAGTAAGTTTTTAAAAATGGGGACGGATGGAGAGACTTGGTTTTCAAATCTTTAAGGTAAGAGTTCCTGCTGCCCACCTTTAGAAGTCTCGGTCCAGGAGTCCAGCATGAACGGAATTTGCAAATCTTTAGTCCCTTGGGTAAGCAGAGGCCATCCCTCTTGCCTTTCTAAATGCTTCCATTGAGAAAGCACACCTGTGGAGTGCAGCTCCCCGAGGACACTGGGCGTGTGGGGAGACCTGTGACAGCTACTACAGCAGTATAAACAGAACCAGCTCCAGGCTCTGCTTATGTCATCCCGTGTCAACGGCATAAGATCAGTGCCACTACACCCCCTCGAATAAACACGCTTTAGGGAGCCGGGTCTTGCCCTCAGGCTTCCACAGACCGGGAGCAGCATCTTTCGAGAGCTGGGTCGTTCCTTCCATCTCTCCTTCCCCCTGCGGGTCAGGGGCATTGCTTTCCTGCCCCACATCAGCCTACCCTGGAGGTGCGAGCTGGCCTCCGGGGTCCCACCCCAGGCATCCTGCAGGCCAGGCCCCCCTTTCACACAGAGCTGAGCGAGTCCACAATTATCTGGACTTGAAGCTGGGTTCCAACAACCGGGCGCTTGCCATGTGACCTTGAACGTGCCCTCCCTGACCTCTGTCTTCCCGCTGATCTTTCCCAACCTCCGCCCGGCCGCGACTCTCCGGCTTGCGGCGAAGCGCGGGAGGGCTGACAGGATGGATGCTCCGGGACAGGGCGCAGGTGAGGCGTCCTCCCCTGAGGCCTGGACCCGGGCTGCCTCCGCCTCTCCGCGGCCTCCCCACTGCAGGCAGCCTCGGTGACGGGCACGGCTCCCCACTGAACCACGGCCCCGCGGCTCACCTGCAGGCCGACTCTGCCGAGAGCGGTAGCCGGGAAGCCGCGCTTCAAGGAGACCCCAACCGCCGCCGCCATCTTGGCTCCTGACGTCAGCCCCACCCCTTACCCTCCGGCATCCCGTCGAACACCGCGGTGGAAGCCGGCATCTCACCCCAGGTCCGCTAGCCGCCCGAGAGCCAACGAATGGGAGGCGGCTTCCGGTTCCCCGAGCGAGCCAATGGAAAGCGCGCGTGCGCAGTAGCGGCCAGCAGGGCGCTTGTCCACTGGGCCTCTCACGTTCCTGGGGTGACCTCTGCAATCTGATGGGCGGGGGGGGGGGGAGGGGGCGGCCTGGAAGGGGCGGAGCAATTTTGCTCAGGGTTGTGATTTTAATCCCACTCCACTTGCAAGGGTGCCTGTCAATCATCTCTGACTCCTGACTGGTCAGTGTTTTGCTGAATATAGAGAACCCCTCAGCCCCTAGCTGATTGAGACAGTTGGTGAGTGATTGAAGCGATCACAAAGTTGACTGACAAAGGTGTCACTCATCCATTTATCCATAAATATATACATAACCCACATGACTGGAACGCTAGAAATTGGCGAGTGGAGGCAGGAGGATCTTTGGCTGCGTAGTGAGGTGGAGGCCAGCCTGGGGTACATGAGACCTTGCCTCAAAACACACAAAACCAAAACAAAAGCAATCAGAAAGTAAGGGGCACCTGGTAAGTGTCATGGTGGCATGCAGGCTCTGCTATGCAGTGGTGAGTGACCCATACACTCAGTTAATTCCTCTATAACAGTGGAGATGGGAAAGTGGGGGAAACGATGATAGGAAAGATGGGTGACATAGCCTAGGTTGTCCACTAAGGAGAATGACCTTGACCTTCAGATCTTCCTGCAGGTAAAGAACCGCTGAGTGCTGGCCTTGTCGATGTGTGCCACCAACCCTGACTGTGCATGCTAGACAGCCACTCTACCACCGGAGCTGTATCCCCAGAGTTTGTTTTGTAAATTTCGTTTAACATCCGAACTGTTTTTTTCTAGCGTCTTGTATGGATCCTTTCAGAGTCTCTCTGACTTGGGATCTGACTACACTGGGCAGGTGTGATCTTGGTGTCCCAAGTCACTTCATCTCTTCAGACACCTGTGGCTTTGCTGATCACCGGCTTCCAGAAGGAGTGGCTTCATTTCTCTCCTCTCAGTTTTGGCAAAGGAAGATCACTGTTTATAGTCTTTGGTTTCCTCATTCTGGCTCATTTAGATGGCACTGGAGAAATTAAGATGACAGTAGGAATGGCTAGTGGGACCAAATTTCTGAGACCTTTACCTGAACCTGGCTTCTCTGCCAGGTGGCCTCATTAAAGTGGGTGTGCTGAGGTCTGAGCTCCAGGAGGTTACCTTAACTGCTCCCCTTAAGGCCTTGTGACCTCGGACAAGTCCTTCTTCACCTCCGACTTACAGTGTCCTGGCCTGAATCGGTAGGGGGGTTGGGCCGGCTGATTTAAGATTCTGCAATTGACATGGCTGTTTTGTGCAACAGGTGACAAGGTGGAGGTCACCTTGATTTTTCAGGGAGCTGGCTCAGCACTGGAACAGGCCCTTCAGGTCTACCCCAGCCGACCAAATTGGCTGAGGTGGTAGGAAGACCTTCATTTTCTTTGCAACTCGTCCAGAGAGTCAACAGGTGGTATTTCTAGAGAACTGGCACCTTAGCTGTTTTCAGCCACCATGTCAAAGACAGACACCATCCCTCCATGAGTGGCTGGCCTTTAAATTAGCCCAGGTCACCTTGGGAAAAGCAGTCGGTGGCCAGGAAAAGCAAGACCTTGGTTTATGGAGGGGCTCCTGGTGCCAGTGTGCCCACATCATTCCTGGGCTTCATGGGGATTTGGGAAGCTCAACAGTATGGAGGGGTAATAAATTCCTGGATGGCTCTCCTTCCGCCCTGAGCTTCACACTTCTGGAAAGGCACAGATGCCATAGTACTTAAAGGTTTTTGTGGTCTACTCCTGACTTATGTTTCCAACATGTCCTTGCCATGTTTGGGATTGGTTGGTTGGCATCCATGTAGAGAGTGATATATTGCTTTTCATCAGACATTCTGATGAGTGTCCTGTGTTTATACAGAACCTCACCTCATCCCTTGCAAATGTGTTTACACCAACAGTCTCCTCTGGTTCTGCTGACAACCCAGTTGAGTGGGAATCACTGTCCCTGTTCACAGACAGTCTTTGAATACTAGGATATCTGGGCAGCGTAGGGTGGGATTTCTGCTGGAGGAACTCTTTCCTCCTCCAGGGTTAGAAATTGAATCCAGAAGCAAACATGAACACCAAGCTGGCTTTGATAGCTCAATTACATTCAAGAGGCAGAGGCAGGAGGATTGCTAGTTCCAAGTCAGCCTGGGCTGTGTAGTGAGAACCTGTCCCACAACCCTCCAAAAAGAAAAAGAGGGCCAGGAGGTGGTGGCACACACTTTTAATCCCAGCAATCAGGAGGGGGAGGCAGGTGGATTTCTGAGTTTGACACAGGGTCAGCCAAAACAAGAAAGAAAGAGAAAGAGAGAGAGGATGAATGAAGGGGGGGGGGCGGGCGGGCAGGAGAGTGGTCCTTATTCCCTTTAAACTTAGCCTCAGAGGATTCCTCCCACTTTACCCAAGATGTTGGAATTCCTCTCCCCCCCCTTTTTTTTTGAAACAGGGTTTCTCTGTGTAGCTTTGAGCCTGTCCTGGAACTCGCTGTTGTAGACCAGGCTGGTCTCGAACTCACAGAGATCCACCTGCCTCTGCCTCCCGAGTGCTGGGATCGAAGGCGTGCGCCACCACTGCTCCACTCCCATTGGCACTCTCATCAGTACCACCATCCATCAACATCCGTACTAGCAAGCTGGTATCACCCTTGATTCCACTTTTCCTTGCACATTCTAGCAATCACCCATTGCCTCCAGGCACCTGCGACCCCTCTACTCACATCTGTCCACTCTTCCTCTTAGCTATTAACAAGGTCTCGTTATTAGCCCAGGCTGGCCCAGAATTCTCAAGCCTCCCAAGGACTGGGGTTACAGGTGTGGGCCACCTGCCTGCTCTTTTCTCCACAACCACTGGTAAAAATTCAGATCCAATTTGCTCCTTCCTTAGAAAATAACTCCTTGACCACTCCCAAGAAAATATCCTCTACACAGACCATGAGAACAACTCACACCTGTTTGATAATGCTCCACTCCTATATCTGTATGCCCAACTGGAACATTTTAAAGGCCTGGCCTCTTCACTCTATTTTCTTTTCTTTAAGTCTGTCTTGAGTTTATTCTTTTTTTCCTTTCAGTTTTATGTCCAGGGACAGGGTCTGGAAGAATAAGCTGGCCTCAAACTTGTTAGCAGAGGACCACATAATCTGTTTTGGATTCTCTTTGACTTTCAAACTCTTTATGACTGTGTTGACTGCAAGAAGTTTCCAGGGCAAGCCCAGGATGCCTCTCTTATTCATGACCACATCCAGATCCTACGTCAGTGGCCTGCACCACGGCAGGTGACTAACGAATACTCAATGAATGAACAAGTTCACCTTCATTTCTGAAGTGCTTGGCTTGGGACGAAGAGCACACTAGATGTGCAGTCGAATGGGCTGACCGAACGAAGGAATGAGGGATAAGAGACGAGCTGCTTCTTCATAGCAGCCAAGTGGTGGTGGTACACGCCTTTAATCCCAGCCCCGAGGAGGCAGAGACAGGTGGATCTCTGTGAGTTCAAGGCCAGCCTGGTCTACAGATAGAGTTCCAGGACAGGCTTCAAAACAATACAGAGAAACCCTGTCTCAAAGAAGAACAAAAACAAAAAAACAAAACAAAAAGTTATTTAGACGGTAGTGGTGCATGCATGCCTTTAATCCCAGCACCGAGGAGGCAGAGGCAGGCAGATCTCTGTGAGTTCAAAGCTAGTGTAATCTACAGAGTGAGTTCCAGAGACTAGCAGGGCTACACAGAGAAACCCTGTCTCAAACAAAACAAAACATTCATTATGAAGTGACTGGAGTGACAGCTCAGCAGTTAAGAAAACTTGCTGGGCTTTTCTTTTTCTTTTTTTTGGATCTGGGTTTAGTTCTCAGCACCTACTTGATGGCTCATAATTATCTACAATTCCAGGTCCAGGTGATCTGATGCCTTCTTCTGACCTCCAAGGTCACCAGGCATGCACAACATTCACACACATTAAAATAAAGTAAGTAAATCTAAACAATTTTCTTTAAAAATGTATGCCATTCTTTAGGACTACTGGAAGCTGAACACAGGGGTCTGTGGCAGGCCAGTGCTCTGCCAGTGAGCCACACCCCCAAAGCCTCTCCCTTGATGCCTTTGCATCTTAGCTTCTTAGCCCTTGTTGGCTTCCCTAGAGTCAACATAAGGCATTTTGTGAGACATCAGAGCATTGGGTGCCTCTTCGGGAAACAGAGTGGAAGGAAAGAAAGCCTGGATGGTCAGGGGTGGAGAAAAAGCAAGTCTGTGATCAGCAAGCCAGCATCCAGGCCTCCATCCATGCCCTGCTCCCACTCTCCATGAAATAGGGTACCCCTTGTGGAGGGGCTAGACCTGAGTCCCTTCAGCCCCAGAGCCTCCCTCTGGCTACTGCAGGAGGAGCCCTTTCAATGTATGGCTCAATTATCCAAACAGGTCTGTGGCTTCTGAGCTTGGCAAGAAGCTGACTCTTCAGGAACATGTCTGCTGTTTGGATGGGGCTGTTTTACTTGTAGGGTGCACTCATTACTTATCATGGGGCTCTAGAGAGAAGCTGAGATGGTATCTAGAAGGTTCCAGAGCCAGAGCTGACACAGCAGAGCAAATGTCAGCTCCCCCATCTCCCGTCCCTGGTTCTCAGAGAAGCCATTTCCCCTCTCCCAGTCACTGAATGGCATCCCTGCCAGGCTAATGACGCTGGTGTGGTTTGGTGAGGCTGTGGTTGCTGACAGCATCCACACTTACAGGATTTCCCGGTACTGAACTCTAAGCAAACCCTTTGGCTACATTTCTCCATAATCATCACAAAAAACTCACAGGGTAGGGGGTCATGGGTCTTCATTTGTTGTTGAGGCTCCTGAGGCTCAAAAAGGGCCAACTACTCACCCAGGTCACATAGCTGGATGGGCAACATTTTCTCGTAGCTCAGTGTCTGGACTGTGGGCTCTATGTCCATCGAG